CCCCCCGTCGCCAAAAAAATTTCGATCAGTGTACCATTTTAGGGGTCAAAAATTTTTCCAGACATAACAAAATTTTTCATGACATAAAAAAATTTTTCCGGACATCAGCAATTTTCTCCATTTATCCAAAATTTTTTTCTAAAATCAAAAAATTTTCCTAAAATTTTTATAAATTAACCTCATTCTTTTCCAAATTCACACTTATTTTTGTAAATTAACCTTCTCTGGGCCTATAAATTACCTGAATCTCATGATTTTGCCCGAAAAAGCATCACTGAAAATGTGATTTATCAGGTAGTATTTTATAACTAAAAGGGCACTTCTGCCCCCCTTGCCCCCTAACAAAAGGCAAGAGGGGCAGCTGCCCCCCCTGCCCCCCCCCCAGTTCCGGCATCCCTTATTTTACATATGTCAAGTTTACACATGTCTCTTGAAAACAGACAAATTCAAGCACAGCTAACTGTCGTCATTTGAGCCCCACAAATGTCTGTACGGTTCTGAGTTCATCTGGTCTCATGTGAATAAATTTTTACAGTTTATTGTACCCACTTTGAGTTTTTGTTGGCATGAACACTCAGTGATTACTCAGTCATGGTAAAATCTACTCATCCGGCAGTGGGATGAAGATTTTGCTAAATAATAATGAAAATTCTGATAAACATACAGTAACTAAAAGCTAAACTAGACTAACTTTATTTATGTTGAATAATTCCATCAGTTCATAACTGCATGTTCTCCCCCGAGGTCTACAGTGGCACTGTCTTGTATAAGTATTTCCCTTGACTTGCCAAAACGAAATAGTACGGCAGCGACCTCGTGTTGTCGTTGATCATACAATTATTTCTAATCAAAGTCATTGAGTAGATCATTCCACAGAAGAAAAATATTAAATAAGTGGTAATACAATGCATTACTTATTTTTTCCTTCACCAGCGAAATTCATTTTGCCTCATTGCCCCCCCCTGCAAAAAAAAACTTGCCAGTGCCACTGGAGATCTATCCCTTAGGCCAATGGAACTGTAGATTCTGTTTATCATCCACTGCCCGCATGTGCTTGCAACTACTGCAAGAATTTTTCATTATTCTTAATTATTTTCATGATTTGTCATTATTTTTAATTCTACGCATCGAAACTTTCAAATATATATCAAATCTTCGATATAAAAAGCCGTACATCACTGATGTATGATGGATCAGTCGGCATTTGTTCGGTACACTCGGAAATTCGCGAGTCTGACATGTGCAAATTTGAAAACAATGGCGTGACAAAGAAATTTTCAGCAAAGGAAAGCCCAAAAATGATAAAAGAATGCTGGACAAAAGTGTTGATGGCAGACCTCTCAACTCTCACGCATTCGGCATGAGTCTCACGTAATTCGCTTCACTCTCACGCTCTCACGCCATGTTCAGTAAATCTCACGCATATAGCAATTCATGGTATTTTTTCAATAATATAATATTGTATTCTTAAATGCACATTATTATAATCATTATACGGATCGCGAATCGAATATATAATTGCGTGTTATTTTTCCTGCATATACGGCCCGACATTTTGCCCGCAATTTGGATACAAAATAGTACGCATATGTAAATACGGCGGACAAAAGGCAGAATCAGTCGGAGCAGAATTCAATATGTAAATTATCAAAGGCAAATTAAAACTCATTACTGTATCAGTTGCAGAAATACAGTTATTGTAACTAAAGTGCCTTGTCTTCTTAAAGGATAGTTATGAAGCAATGTATCTTTCATTAAAAACACCAACTCTCATAATGCACGAAATGCCATTTCAGACCCTCGGACTTTTTATACAAAGGTGTCATCCACATCCCCAATCTCACTCTTAACATCTCTGCAAAGTTGAGAGGTCTGTGTTGATGGTCGATTTAAGGATCATTTTTGGTCGGAAAATAGATAATAACAAAAATAATGAAAAATGAATGATGAAAAAAACCCGCATCAGATTCTTTAAATTCTCGGACGGTAAACAGAATCTACAGTTCCATTGGCCTTATTGGTTCAAACTAAACTAAACCAGCACTGTTTGATATCATTCTTCTGACATGCAACTGTAATCAACATTCATATTCACAGAAAGACACATACACTAACCACTACCATGCTCCTCTCTGGGCATTCTTCATCCTTTCCTACCTAACAAACCTGAACACTCCCGTCCCTAACCCTCACCCTCGTATCTTTACCGACAACACCACATGTGACTTTATTCGCCGTCTCACCACTCGCCCACATTTCATGAACTTCAGCTCGTGCACCAGCAAAACTTAACTTCTTTGACATATAAACAGCTGAATCTATCAAAGTCTTCCCAAAACGCCACATGTCGCTGCGTCCAAGCCATTGGTCCTTAAACTTGAGCTCAACCAGTGCCAATGTAAATGCCGACGGGTCGACTATTTCAACATGGACCTCCCAGTATGCCCGAAACTTAAATTTACTTGCAACAGAATGTTTGAGACTGATTGTCTCTTTTTGTTGAAAGTCAGTTTGAAGGGACTTGATTTGCAGCAGTAGTTTGCATGTGCATGAACCATCCTCAAATATTTGATAAATTTGGAGAATATCGTTTTCGTTTAGGCCATTTTGGAAATCTTTCGGATTCAAAACGAGGTCCTCTTCACTGAAGTTAGATTGGTGAATCCAAAGCTTGCAAATTTTACTCATTATGGAAGCATTTTTGACGTTTTTACACAAAATTTCATCAAAATTTATTAACAATGTTCTGCAATATTTTGTATTTATTTTGCAACTTCTGCGTTGCGATTGTTTTCCGGGGATTTACGACTCCACCCGACTGTACATGTTCGCCTTCTCAGATATTCAAAATTATTTGCATTAATTACCGTCGTTCGCATCTAAGCGTGAACAGAAACAAAACAGTCACGTGAACGAGTGGAACTTCAACGAAGTTTTAATTGGATCAGGACAACCTGCAAACTATAATCAAAAACACAATACAATGTATTTTACATTGAAAAATTATTATTTATTATACATAAGTTCACTTTTATTATTGGATGATATTAGACAATTATGATTCGATTTTATTCACTTTATAAACGTTCAACAGCTGTACATGTTTCACTAACCTGAGTATCAGGCCCTTATGTTTTCATAATGTTTCACTAATATCGTGCAGCAGATAGCGGTCAACCAGCTGTGATAAATGCATAGAAATAATAGGATAAATGTCTGTATTAGCCATTCCGGAGTTGATGAGTGGACTGGGGACGAGTGTTAAAAAGTGCCTAAATTAAGAAATGAACCAATCACTAAAAAGACCATCTCAAAATTAGTATAAAGCATACAGAGTTTGAAGACGTCTACATGAATACCCTTCGAATAATAAGCTTTCGAAAATTTGGGACGCACGTCCCAAAAACAAAAATTACAATACATTTCATAGTAAATATCACAATTTTCGAAAGCTTATTATTCGAAGGGTATTGATGTAAACGTCTTCAAACTTTGTATACTTACTAATTTTGAGATGGTCGTTTTAGGTATTTGGTTCATTTCTTAATTTGGGCACTTTTTATGGCTAATTGTAGTGGTTAGGCGGTTAGCACTATTTTCGTCATTTTCGCAAGATAGAAGAGGTTTTAAATGGCTATGTAACTAAAACAAACCCTACCCCTACTCTAACACCTAACCCTAACCTCAACTCTAACCCTAACCCTAACCCTAACCCTAACCCTAACCCTAACCCTAACCCTAACCCTAACCGAATTAATAAAAAAATCCAAAAAGAAACGACTTTACAAAATCGATAGGGCGGTTTGCTGGATGGAAAAAAGTGCTAACCAATTGGGGTTATTGTATCTGGTGACAAACAAATAGAAACTCTGACAGAAGTCGACAGAGTTTAATTTTCTTGTTCCTATGGGTGCCATATTGACCACCATCTGCTGCCTCTAGACCTTAAAGAAGCACACAAATCAAGTTAAAGATCAATTAAAAACTCCAGCCAAGCAGCTGATCGGCAAGAAGCAAGAAAACAGGGACACACCAAGGGCGACAGCATTGTTTTCAACCTTGAGATCCGGGAACCTGACCAACAAATCCAAAATGACCCCATTAGTCCATCCAAATCCAACCTGTGGTTTGTATTCACCCCCTCGCCCTGTGTTCCCCTCAGACGTCACGTTATATTTCTCAAACATATAACTGGTTCGGTTAAACCCCATCCAGTTGCTTAGAACCCAAGACTGCGCGAATTTCTTAGCCTCGTTTTGGAGCAATATTGAACTGGACTTGGTGAGGCCAATGATGAGCATGTGTTGCAAGGGGGGCCACCCGTTTGGGAAATCCCACTGCTGGCCCGACTCGTTCAAAGATGTGGGCAATCCTCCTGGAAAATCTAAAACCTTTGCGCGTTTCATGTTCGCGAACACAAGTTCCTCGCGTGTTTTATTTTCTCGTGCGAGACCAGCCCAAAGCGGGACGACGATTGATGCGTAAAAAGCTTTAGTATTGCTCTGTGTCGAGACGTCATAGTCAGCCCAGGCCCCAGCAGCCTCGTTCCAAAGCAGAGCCTCGATTGCAAGCTTTCTACGATTGGCTAATTCCTGATATTTCTTCGATTTTGTTTGGCTGCCAGTTAATTTGAAAAACTTTGAAAGTGTCAGAGCGTTTTTAAACAAAATTGAATTAAGATCAATTGGAATAATTTCGGTTGTGTGTATTGATTCAAATTTCCCAATGCTGGCGTCTGATTGGTTAAACCAACGACTAGAGAAGTCCCAGCCGCTCTCCGCTGCAGACGCCACAGCTTGGTAGAACCTCGACTTCATGTGTTGGTCACTGAATCTTTC